GAGTTAATTAAAATACGGGTTCACTCTTTCACAGGTCCATTTCAGGCTAGTCGTGGAATGACGGGGATGATGATGGTGATCGGGCATCTGTGTGTGAGTGACCTGGCTATATTGTCTACTGTAGATGCATTAGATTAAGTTGCATTGAGTGCGTTAAATGTGAATGCTCCTCCAATCCGTGGGTAAGATTGACCTTTTTTTTCTTTTCCAAGAAACATGTAAGCAGTGCATTGAAAGAGGAAGCTTCCATTATCTCTGCCACTAAATGAGTAAAGTCATCACCGGGATGAACTCAGAAAACGTCCTTCACTTTATTCTTCCACCAACCGACAAAAATCGAAGCGCAGTTCTGGAGGAATATCGACCGCCTTTGGGGTCTTTTTATGAAAAGCTGTGCTGTCACAACATCTGTTGATGTGATTTGGAGAGGCAGAGAGCATTGTTACTTTAGCGTCTGAGAGAGGGTCCAGACACCACCACGGATCAATGAAAAGCATCATGGCGTTTCGCTCAAAATGTTGAGCAATGCCCGGAACCGAAACAAGAAATTGAGAATTCTTGACCGAAGGATCTTCAGAGTAAAAACTAAATAATGGAAACAGAAAAGTGTCCCTTTATGGCTTACAATAACTTAAACGTTTTATGATGACATTTAAGTTGACATTAAACCGCATAAATCGTCGTTCCTCTGAAATAGCAGGTCACGCTGCTCATTTTTCCCTGAATGATGCATGTAATAAAAACCCCACTGCCTGTTCAAGGACTGCCGGCTTCCTCACCCACACAGCTGTGGGGCCAATCTCTCTGTTTGATTAAACTTTGCTCCACGGGGGTATGACGTATCCAAAGGCACTTAGGTTTACAACCTCCCGCATTGAATTATTGACACCTCGCTGCCCTTCCTATCAGTTTCTTGACTAATCCGCTGTTGTTGCCTCACTCATTTAAGCAGAGGACTTCTGTTTTACTTTCCGCAATAAAGCTGTGATTCATTCACGATTCAGTGGCACCTGCAGGCACAGGCCGTGGACATTTTTTGATTTCCCATGCAATATCTGCCGCGCTTATAAATAATCATCCATGTTCAACATGAAACAAACAGCTGTTGCCTTTGAAGCAAAGATGCGGCGCGCGGGCTCTGCATTAGATCGAAATAACACGGGCCGCGCAGATAGCACGCAGGAAGAGAGAGCGAGAGAGATGAAGAAAGCCTCGGCGGGGGAGGAGAGGACGAGATATGAGGGCGGCGTGCACGGAGGCTCTCAGTCAGGCAGGATGTGTAATCTCTCTGTCTCTGGAGCGAGCGGGTTAATTTTTCATGCGGTGGTTCGCGGGGCGATTCCTACAGCCCGGCCATGGTTTCCCCAGAGAGAGAAGGAGAGGAGCTTGTTGCTCCGGGGGCCCCGGCGAGTTTCTTGTTGAGTCTGCCTGTAAATTGCCACCAAACCAGTGAATTACCCCATGATGTGTCGCGGAGGAGGCCGGGAGGCCCCACAGGCAAAGGACTTACAGTATGTTTTCCCTCGCAGTGATTCTTCACTGACAGCTCGGGCAGCAAACTAAGATGTCTCATTTAGAATCCAACAACTCCCATATTAAAAACAGCTGGCTGCCACCGCGGCTAGTTTCTCATGTGAGCTGCTGCTGCCTGTTTAAAAAATATTGGCACAAAATTAATGGAATAATTTGTCGGAAAAAGTGACAAATTGACAGAGTTAGCGATCATCAATCGTAATCTTGACGAATGTGTTAAAAAACACTTTAACTATGATTTTTTTGCCATATTGATGTTATTTCCATATATGTTTTAGTGAGCGAGGCTTTGGAAAAAGCTGGCATCTGACATAAAAAAAGAAAGAATAAAACATGCACGGGCACAATGATTTAATATTGATGTTCTTGTCTGGCAAAGGCTTGCAAAGCGGCACAAAATCTGCCAGTTGAGCCATGACGATACCTTAAGGCAGCTGAGAGATGGCTTCCACAATAGGCGAATGTAGTCTCGATACTGACTGTGCACAATTTATGATGTGAGACCAAGAGAATTTATTTTGTGGGGATTTGTGTCTTCCAGCTTTCTTGTGTTCTACTGTGAAATCTGGGCTTATTGATTGAGGACACACTGTGTACTTGAGGAGAATTCCTTTTTTCTTTTTTCATAAAAAAAAAAAAAGAAATGTATCGCTTAAATCAGATCCTTCACCTCTCAATCCCACGTACACGCAGCACACTCTTCGAATCGAAGGTGGAAAATCTCAACAGAAAAGAAACAAGAAGCACCCCCCCGACGCCGACGACACCGGATGATCCCTTATCGAGGTGGCAGAGGCAAAGAAAAACAATTCTGACGCGTTAAACATCATAAAAGCGTGACAGGCCGCCTCCCTTCGGCTCCCAGCGCAGCCGTGGCTCAGCGTCTCGAGGAGACCCGTGTTTGAATGACTGCTGTGTGGGAGCTCACAGTCTGCGGCTGTGGATTAAGCTCGCGGCAAATAGAAGCATGGGAGAAACAGAGGTAATCTCTCGCCTCTCCCCCGCGGCCCTCTCACCATACCTGCGTGCCCCCCCCTCCCTTCCTTCTTTTAATCTCCTTACTGAATTAGTTTGTGCAAAGCTGCTCAAACAGAGAGGGGTTTTATTCACAATGGGCACAGAGGTTAAAGTAACATGGAAATGATACCATCTCAAGATCCCTCCTCCTCGCCAGGTTATTGTTCTAGAGGAACATCCAGGTAGAAGAGGCGTGCCGCCGCCCTCCCATCAGACCTCAGGGCCCGCCACGTGTGACCCCGCACGGCAGCGTGGCATCAAAACGTCGATGCAGTCTGTGGTTTAATCACCCACGGCGCTCAGGATAATTCCCCCCCACCCGCAGCACACAGCGTTTGCATAAAAGTTCTTTCGTTTTTGCATTTCGGTGCCCCGGCTCGCAGTTTCACAGAAGATTCTCCACAGGAAAGAACATTCCCACACCTGAGCCGCCTGAACACTGCCTGAACACTTCTGCCTGGCGCTCGCCGCTTTGCTTTCGCTGCTAGTAGTAGATGTTTTGTCTCCTTCTCGCACACCTTCCCGTGAGATAATTACCAGTAAGCCTGTGATATTAAGTGTTCATCATCAGTGCTTCTCTCAGTGATGAGAGGTGTTAACCGGCCGGATGTACGTAGCTCACAGGCGTCTTCTCTCATCAGACAGGACGAGCCGCTGACTCAACGGGATGAGGTTGTTTACCATGAGCGTGTCCTCGCCTCGTCCATGACTTGGATTCATCTCATCCTTGCATTGCATGTCACACTCGTCTTTTCGGTCGATTCCAATGGGTTGTCTAAATGCATGCGTTGAGGTTCTGCCACAGTACTGCAGCTTGATGATGTCAGGTGGCGTTTTAGATTCAGTGAAAGGCGTCTTGCCGGGAATTAAAACGTGGGATAAAAGATTCACACCTTGACCGAGGTGCATTTACTGCTCAGAGCGAGAGAGGAAGTTACCAAATAAACAAAGTATGATGCAAATACTCACCAGGCATTTACAAAGGAGGAACCTCTTCCCTGCCATCTGGAACTCGATTAGATGTTTTATAAATGTCCTTCGTAATTTAACGTAAAATGCAATGTTTAATTTCTTTAATCTTTCTAGGCTGAGTTTGATGTTGTGAATACGTTGTGTGTGTTACAGTGTGACAAAGAGGAAGGACGGTAGAAGAGTCATGTACAGATTGTTTCTTTCCAACTGTTTCATACATTACACTTTTATTTGCTGCCTATACAAGCTTGCATACTGTTGTTTGCAGCATGGATTGAATGTGGTGCAGTGATCCTTTGACTTTTGACCATCAACGCCAATATAATGCGTAATATAACCGTATGTTAACAAAGCATTTTAGACATTCATATGGGTTTGATTAAAAAAAGCGAAGGCGCGGCCAGAGTTGGTGTGTGTGATGTCCAACATGGACAGAATGGGGAAGATGTCAAAGCCTGATAGATGACGTCTGTGTGTGTGTGTGTGTGTGTGTGTGTGTGTGCCAGTGACAACAGTCCGTGGGACAATCGCGATGTGGCATCAGCTCTCGCAGACAGACAGACTCAAATAGTGCAAGAGAAGGATTTTTTCTTCTTTCTTTTTTTTTTTTTTTACACCAGTTTCCTTCCTACGCCGGAGTGCGAACCAGAGGCGGCGGAAGTACGTCATCGACGTGGGCTCTCGCCACCGCGTCTCTTAATTTCGGATTGAGGGGAGAAAGGAGAGGGATGGGGGGGGAGATTGTAATCACTCCTGTCGCTTTAAGGACACTTATCAAAGCCGTTTTATGCGAATAGAGAGAGAGAGCGAGAAAAGGAGAAAGTCCCACGAGCCCCCGGAGCAAAGTGAGCAGCGAAGTGACGGAGCGGATTTATAGGAAACTCTACGTGATCTAAACTGGAATAGACCGCTTCACCGCCTCACGGAGTTTGGGCTGCACGCACACACAACCGCGCGCGCACACACACACACACACACACATACACTGGATGCTTGTCTCGTTTCGGAGGCTTTCGGAGTATTTAGCGAATATTGCGCTGAAGTAGCGTCCAGACCGCCGGAGCGGGGAGAGGAACGCGGGTGTTTCTTCGTTCTTTCCCGCGGGGAGAATTCGCTGCTTCTTCCCTCCTCGGGCGGCGAGCGGTCGATGAGGGGACCGTGCTAACGTTCGCTCTCGGGACGGATCGTATCCCGGAGCCGTTTATTTGACAGCCCCCCCCCTGGATCATGGGTCGGGGGGGCGGCGGCGGTGGAAAACAACAACGGGCAGCGACATGATTTCCCTGCTTCGTCTGCGCCACGCAGCGAGGCCGGGCTCCGACCACCGCTCCTTGTTATTTCCACCCAAACAAAAAGTTACAGCGCGGCCGTGACGCCTCGCGGATTTCAACTATTTCGCCGCTTTTTCTTTTTTTTTTTTTGCACCTGCTTCGGCGGACGCCGCGTCGACACGCCGCCGATTCGTGACGAGAATAGCGCGTGGATCCGCGTCGCGTCGCCCGAGCGGGGGGGCACCTGAACATTTGGGCTCATCGTAAATGGAGATCGGGGAGGTGTGTGCCCAAGGTCATTGAGTGCTACCCGGCCGTATTTTTGTGTTGTTATCGAAACGCACACACACACACACACACACACACGCGCAGCGCCGTCGTCTACGTTGCAGCGCAGCCTACAATTGTCAGTCCGGTGGTCGCGCGCCGTGGAGTTGTTGCGTTGCTATTTGTCTCCGGACACCGCGAGCTTCCGTCTCCCGACAGCATGGACGGCGCGTTGAAGCCGGGTCGGAGATGCCGGACCAAGCGGGAGCGGGTGCGCAGGCTGCGGGAGGCGGGAAGCAGAGACGCCCGCCGCAGCCCCGACCCCAACTCCTCCTGCTCCGACAGGGAGGGACACAGTCCGGGGAGGGACGCCGCCTCGCTGCCCGGCAAGAAGGCGCCGCGCCCCGCGGCCCCCGCCAGAGCCCCGCGTCCCCCCCGGCGGAAGAGACGCGAGTCGAGCTCGCAGGAGGAGGACATCATTGATGGATTTGCTATCGCCAGTTTCATCAGCCTGGACCGCCTGGAGGTAAGCAACGGGTTACCTGTGTGTGTGTGTGTGTGTGTGTGTGTGTGTGGGTCTGCAGCATTCTTCAACAGTGGAGTGGTTCTCAAAGAGGGGCTCCTTGAGCCCCCCCCCCCCCCCCCCCCCCTAACCCCCCACTCCAGCAATGCGAGGACTAGTCCAATTCTTCTCTAATTGACTCAAGAGGATGTCAATTAAACTGAATAAGGGTGACTCCTCTAAACTTGTGATTTAGAGGAGCCCCCCCCCTTCAATATGTGAACCATGTTGATTGGATTGGAATGTGTCTGTTGGGGGTCCCTGAGATGATGCTGTTGGACACGACTCTCTTTGAGCGATATTGCAAGTTGAAGGTTTTTGTGGGTGAGATGTTGGTGATGTTGAGGGAAGTTGTGATTCACTGCTCGCTGTCAGTGCACTCTTGACATTTTGCTCTTTTAATAAAGTGCCATTGATCTGTTACAGGCTGATACGGCGCGTGCTGGTAACGGCGTCTCTGTCATCACCGTTCTGTGTGTGTGTGTGTGTGTGAATGATTTTAGGAACAAAGGAGCTTCTCTTGTGATTTCCTCTTGTCTCTTTTACCTCCATTGTTTTCCAAATGACCGATAAACCATTGCTCCCAGTGGGACGTCAGGCTGACTGACGAAGCAGGCAGGTGTAGGCTGGTGCTTTTATTTCCATGGCTGGTTGTGGGAACTGTAGTACTACAGTGGTTGAAACATAAATCACTAGCTTTGATAAACGCAGCCAGCCCACTGAAGTCTGTATATTTTAAGATGATGACCTCATTTCAATGACAACCTCCCATGTGGGCTTAGCGGTATTAATCAGTCACGATTGACTCTTGCCGCCTACATAGTGCTTAGTCAGTATAATGCTCCAATACAGATTTGAAGCAAAATGACTGCATGAAACAGAAAGCAGCTGTCCCAGCCTCACACACACACAAACACACACAGGTTCACACTTTATAGCTACTAAAGCATGTTCAACGTTACACATCAAACTCCGTACAGTAGGACGTCCCCACCCTTTATCATCTTGGATCATCCCCCCCTGTTTAGTGTCCCGGCGAGGCTGCTCCCTTAAGATAAACTCCTAACTTTTGTTGTCAGATGTGCATCCAATTGGCGTGTCGCTTGGCGTTCGCATGGCTTTGTGCGAGTGCGCTGAGGAGATGCATTTGCGTGCGCGTCTGCCCTTTGTGCGCCGCCGCTGACACTTCTGACAGCTGCCGACCGTGAGGGGCTCCGAGGGTGTCATGGCAGCAAAGTGTCTCACTGCCAGCGTATCGTGCCGGTGTCTCCGCTTGAACGATTGTTCAATGCTGCCCCACCGACTTCGAGGAGCGCGCATTAGGGGCATTTAGAGGTACTTTATGTTGTTGCACATCTGGCCCGGCTACTGTCCCGTTGGCGGCTGCAGAGCGGGTTGCCTTTCCTAAAAGCGCTTCTCCTCTGGTGCTTTGAACGCGGTAAAACAAGCCGCCTCGTTGTGTTTGAGAGGGAAATTGAGTAAAAACAATCAACCAATTGTTGTTTTACAAATTCCAGAGCAGTCATAGTTTTCTTGCACAAATTGAACGAACACGGGGAGAACAGTGCTCAGCACAGGAGCTTATGATTCAGGGCTAAGCAAATGAGCCATGATACGGTTCTGTGTGCAACGATACTTATCCGCCAGCCAGCTACTCGTCAATAATTGGTCTGATTTGCATGCGAATGGACTGCGCTTATTAAATGATGTTGGTGGATTCTGTGCAATTACACGAGGGAACGTGCACAGGTTCCGTCACCTTTGCCCCCCTGACTTCCCTGTCGATGCAGAGTGAAACGACCATTCATGTTTCCTCTCGTTTACTGTACGCGACGGCCATAATCACATTTCTTGGCCGCCAACAAGTTGCATGGTTTTGTGTGAAATGGAGGGTTTGAACCCACTAGAAGCCTCTCATTACTGGCCGTGACTCACGCCGTCCCCTTTACCCGCCGTGTGCTTGAGCGGGGCTCATGACCTGCGCTACCTGTGCTAATTGCTCATCCATTATGAGGAGGACACAGCGGTGTTCTGACCCGCTCCGGTGAACCAGCTGGGCCTCGTCAGAACCAGGGTGTGCGCCCCCCCCCCCCCCGATCTCTTCCGATTGGCTGATGATTGCATGACGGTGTTCCAGTAAACAACCAACCGGTGATTTGTTTTTTGTCGCTATGAAGAACTTGATCTTGTTTTTTTTAATCTCTATTCCACCCTTTTGCTTTCTAAATCACCTTTGGGGTTCTGTCAAACCTCATTTGATTGTCTATTTTAGTCCGTAACTGGTGCACAGCTGCTACCGTCTGTTCCGGAGAGCCGGAGGTTACGGGTTCCTCCAAGAGCACATGGACTCCAAACCAAATCCGTAGGTGGCTTGTTGTTGATTTTCCAGCTCTCCGCTGATAGGATCAAGATCCCCCGATGAAGGCTTTGGCAGTACGGTGGTCTCTCTCTGGCTCCCCCCCGAACCCGTTTCATTACAGCTCAAAGCAATTCTCCAGCCGTGGCCGCGTACGATTACGCCGGTTTTATTTCCCCCCCCGAAGCCCGACGTTTCTCATAGGAAAGCCGCTTACCTGCCAGTGCAAATCGACTGTACAAACACAGCCGTCACGGACACCTTATCGTGATTGGAGAAATGTTCGGGATCATTCCGTGATGATTGAAAGGGTGTAAGCACACTTACTCAGCCAGTCGGCAAAGGAAAGCCTTGTTTGTCCAATATGAGCGTCCAGCATGCTTCTTTGTTTTGCTTTTTTTGCACAAGAATACATTTTTTCAAGTGTTAAAAAGTCGACCTGAAAATGTGAGCTTCCCACCTGACAGCAGTGCTATAAAACAATTACCCGCTGCGGCTTAAACCCCCTCCGGAGGTCTCCCCGTGGGTATCGAGCAAGTGAGCAGATAATAAAATGACACAATTATCCATCTGTCACAGTAATAATAAGATGTTTGATTCGCTCCGTTTGCACAGTGAGTGACGTCGGAGTGGCAAATCCCCACCCGATAATCCGCAATCCTTCTGTTCATCTGCTTTAACATGAATTTACAGATTTGTTTGGGGTTTTCGTTCCGCACCACGAGTTTCTAAATTCGCTCTAATGGGGATTTAGGTTTAGTTGATTTAGTGATATTACCACGGTGTCAAGGGCAGGGATCTGAGCGGCTGGGCATCCCGACAAAAAGGGTTTCATAAATAGAAGCTTTTGATGGGATCGAGAGTCGGTCTCCAGGGAAGTTTTGCAGTCATTTGAAGTCATGCTTGCTCTTTTTGTTTTTTTCATTCATGGCCCTTTTTGACTCTCATGCAATAATCATCGGCTGCCGTTAGCCACCGAGCCGCTCTGGCTAAGCAGTAAGGGGGAATTAAGAATCTATTGCCCCCCCCCCCCTTTGATGATATAGGATCGCCGAAAGGCCCAAATGGGCCGTACCTCCTTTTATTTTGATGAATTGCATTATAATCCTTTCAAATGTTTACAACATTAGTTTTTCTAAAATAAGTGTTACCTCACTTTTCCACTTCAGTTTATTTTTATTTCTTTCACTGAAAATAAAACCGCAATAAAATGAATTTCAGTCCCAACCTCATTGCTGATGTCTCTTGTTGGCCAGTAGTGCTTGTAAAGCCCAGGGGCAGATACGCCTCCTTATGTTTTAGTACTTTTAAACTTTTTGTGCCGTTGTCATGGCGTTTGCATCGCCTGTCACAGGCTGCAACAGACTATCATCTGATATGCGCTTTACACCAGTCACAGATGCGTCCATCCTGGCACATCCCGACCTCGTTTATCCCTCATCTTTCTCCCCTTCTTTTTCCGCCTCGCTCTGCGTCTCTCTCGCTGCCACCGCCCGAGGGAACATTTCACATTAGTTGTTAGAGAAGCTGCGAGTCGCTGCTGCTCCCCCCCTCTCCCCCCTCTCTCCTCCGCCAGTATTTTCCCAGCTGGTACGTGGATCGGAGCCAGACACATTCCAGCTACGATTTTGTGTCTTTCTATTTCCCCAAGTGCGCGGATAAAGGCCCTCGGAAGGGTTTCTGTTATTTTCTAAAGCTTTCCCCTAAAACAGCTGTACTTGCACCACTACGCCTCAAGTACCGTCCCTTCCATCGACGGGCGTCTCACTGCCAGCAATCAGACAGCACCGTGTGTTCCTTCTTAGCACTCATCAGTATTGCTGACACGCTCTTTTGTCAAGTTGCGACACTTCCACCTACAGAGAGACGTGATGGCGTCTTCTGGCTTCAGCTAAAAATGATGCTGGGTTGAGGTGAACAGGCAAAACAAGATCCCGGGTAGTTTGTAAATCCAATCTTTTCCACGTCTTTCCCAGTGCTCCCAATTGCCGGTTGGGTAACGCTGAGCAAAGTGGTCCTGCAGCAAGACGTCCCGCTTCCGTGGCGAGGCTGCAGATTTGTTGCAGCAGCAGCAATCACGCTTGGTGTTTCCTCTCTACCCCCCCGACGGTGATAGCACTGTGCATCATATGCCGCCACTGACGAACAACTCCAGCTTTAATTAACAAGGCAAAGCCCCCCCCCCCCCCCCCTCCCACCTCCTCCCCCAGAGGCTCCCTGCTACTCATTGGTTGACGCATCCCACGGAGGGAGCTTTCTCAATGCCGGTGGGACGTCCCAACTCTCCCTCTGACTGTCACACACTGTAGGCGACAGCATGGCTGATAAATGCATGGTCACATTCACACGGCTTCTCTCTCCCACGCACACACACACACACACACACTGTAACAGGATTGAACCTCCACTGTGCATCTGTCCAAGCCATCAGCCAGTGACCTAAATATATCCACCCAGCGAAGGTTCCAGTGTGTTCATGCGGATTTGAAAGCATGGCAGTCACTTTGTCAGCCTCCTCTGTAACTACAAAACTACACACTTCCATTCTGCCCGGGAGGATTCGTGTGTCACAAAATGAAAGTGGAGAAAGTGCTTCGGTTCACAGATT